CTAAGTTGCCTGGGTTGAACAGAAACTTGATATCCTCCTACATCAGCCTACCAAGACACTGAGATTACAGACATGTGCCACCAAGCCCAGCGTATTTTATTGGTTTTAAAATGTGACAAATCATCATGCTTCTACCCTAGCTTCTCCCTTAGCTTCAGAATCATCCCAATGCATCTGCATTGGTGTCCCACAGCACTGCGATCTCAACATGTCCAAAGCCAAAACTGTCATCTCACTCCTAGTCCTGAGTCTCTCTGTGGAAGAGCTAATACTTCGGAATTTTGTTATGTGCTAAGCATTCTTCTAAATTCTTTACATACTTTAATTAATTTACTCCTCATAATAGTTCTATGTGGTTATTACCTCTATGTTATTACCTACATCTGACCCCTGGGAAAATGAGGCCCTAGTAGGGCAAGTAGCTAGTGGGACCATACAGGCCACCTGAGAGTCATCTTTGATTCTCTTGTTTCTCTCACCTTCCCACAGCTCATTAAGAACCAAGGCCTGGAGAGTTTTACCCCCAGAATATTTTAGTCCCCATTTTTTCTCCTCTTCTCCTTCTTATGACTACTCTGCTTCAGATTATTTTTTCTCTTGCCTGGACTATTTTGCCTTTTTTTTTTTTTTTTTTTTAGCTTTCTATTGTAGAAAATTTCAAGTATGTTGGACTGGGGACATAGCTCAGTGGTCCAATACTTGCCTAGTGTTCATGTTACCTTAGGTTTGATCCTCAGCACCATAAAATTTTTTTTTCCCAAAACATATAGATAGAATAGTAGAATGAATATGTTCACTGCCCAGCTACAACCAATATAAACTCATTTTATATTACTCATATAACTACTACCTTCACTTTCTTTATACCTTCCACTCCTTGCCACCACCCAGCTACATTATTCTGAAACAAATCTCGGATATCATGGTTAGGGTTTGGATTTTTTCCCCCCAGTACTGCAGATTGAACCCAGGGGCATTTTACCCCTGAGTTGCATCTAAGACCTTTTTATTTTTTATTTTCAGAGAGGTTATTTAGAGAGAGGGTCTTGGTAAGTAACTGAGGCTGGCCTTGAACTTGTGAGCCTCCTGCCTCAGCCTTCCAAATCACTGGCATTACAGCACCCAGCCTGGATTTTCAATGTCCCCGCAAAAGCCAGGTTTTGAAGTTTTGGTCACCAGCCTGGGACTATTAGGAGGTACCTTTAAGAGATGGGGCCTAATGGAAGGAAGTTAGGTCACCAGGAAATATTAAAACACTGCCCCTTCCTGTCTCTCATTTTGCTCCCTGGCCACCATGAAGTAAAGAGCCTCCTCTGCCAAGGGCTCCCTGTCAGGATGTTTTGCCTTATCACAGGTCCAAAGGCAACAGAGCCAAGTGACCATGGACTGAAAGCTCTGAAACTATGAGCCACAATAAACCTTTCCATTTTTCTCAGGTATTTTGTCACAGCAATAGAAAGATAAATTTTACATCATGTTCACTCATCAATGAATATTTCAGTATCTGATTTTAAAGGATAACTTTTGAAGAGTACAATTACAATAATACCATTGGCATAATACAGTGACAATTTTTAATATTATTAACTATCTAGTCAGTATTTGTCTTAGTTATCTATTGCTTTACCACAGTGGTTTAAAACAACAATAGTTGCTTTTTCTATGCTGGGGATTGAAACCAGGACTTCACATATGCTAGACAGGGGATCCTACCACTGAGTTATACCCTCAACTCTTTTTATTTTTTGAGACAGGGTCTAAATTGCTGAGGCTGGCCTTGAATTTGCAATCCTCCTGCCTCAGCCTTCTGAGTAGCTGAGATTACAGGCTTATGCCACAGTTTATTTGAAATATTTCTATTGAAAGAAACTTGTACTTTTTTTTGTTGTGGGGGGGGTAGTACTGCCAGAGGCACTCTACCACTGAACTACTCTCTCAGCCCTTTTTTGTTTTGTTTTAGGTCAGGGTCTGGCTAAATTGTTCAGACTGGCCTTGAACTTGCAATCCTCCTGCCTTAGACTCTTGAATAGCTGGGATTATAGGCATGTGCTACTATGCCTACCACCTATAAGATGCTTTAAAAATATAATCATGAATTTACAGATTTAAAAAACATTTATTCAACTGTTACTGATGTTCCAATTATCCCATCTCTGGCAAGCAGCAGTCTCTAAATTGGCCCCCAAGTCCTCTTGAATGATGATGCTAGTCATCTCTGATAGCTTCTTTGCTTTCTGACATAGTATTATATTCCAGGCTCATTTCATACCTTTTTTTTTTGGCACTTGGGATTGAACTCAGGGGCGCTTAACCACTGAGCCCAGCCCTTAGGGCCTCACTAAGTTGCTAAGGCTGGGCAACTTGAGATCCTCCTGCCTCAGCCTCCTGAGTCACTGGGATTATAGTAACACACCCACTGTGGCCAGCTAACCACTTCTTTTTGCTCAATGTTCTTCAGTGCTCTCTGTTCCCCCTTGGAACAGTACACTAGATCCTCAGTAACTATTCACCTACTTAACTCTCCCTCCCATTCCCTCCTAGTCTCTCCAACACAGCAAAACCTACCATTTGCAGTTCCCTGCACTCTCCACATTGTGTCATGCCGTGCCTTGTCCCATGCTAATCTCTTGGCCTCAAACTCTACCCCTACTGCCTTTTATTATTATTTCAATTAGGTATATATGACAGCAGAATGGATTTGATTCGTTGCATACAACTGCAGCACAACTTCATTTCTCTGGTTGTACAGAATGTAGTGTCGCACCCTACGTCATATTCCATTCATCTACTAAAGGGCATCTAGGTTGCTTCCACAGTTAAGCCATTGTGAATTGAGCAGCTATAAACATTGATTTGGCTGCGTTAGGATAGTATGCTGATTTTAAGTCCTTTGGGTAGAGATCAACGAGTGGGATCGAGATTGGCAGCACCAGTTTGCAGTCCCACCAGCAATGTATGTGTGCCTTTCCCCCCCCACATCCTCACCAACATTTATTGTTGTCTGTATTCTTGATAATTGCCATTCTGACTGGCGTGAGAAGAAATCTTAGGGTTTTTTTAAATATTTTTTTTTAGTTGTCAATGGACTTTTTTTTTTTTTTTTTGAATTTTTTTAATATTTATTTTTTTAGTTTTCGGCGGGCACAATCTCTTTGTTTGTATGTGGTGCTGAGGATCGAACCCGGGCCGCACGCATGCCAGGCAAGCGCGCTACCGCTTGAGCCACATCCCCAGCCCCGTCAATGGACTTTTATTTTATTGATAATGTGGTGCTGAGCAACGAACTCAGTACCACACACATGCTAGGCAAGCGCTATGCCACAGAGCCACAACCCCAGCCCCAGAAATCTGTTTTGTTAATCCCTTGTTCTGACTCATGGCTCAACCTTGGTGATTTAGTTTAGCTCAGTTGTCTTCAAAGCACTTTCCCTGATTTAACAGAGCAGGCTGCAAGGCCCGCATGCTTTCTCCTATTCAACACACAATGTTTAGTTTACATGTAGCTCTGCTGTGCTGTTAGCAGTGAAAGACTAGAAAGAACGGAGCGATCCAGTTTATTTTCTGCATGGGGAGAAGCCCCATCTGATACCACAACAGGAAGGACATACTCTCTTCTTCCAGCAATGAGTCTTCCATTTCCACTCCCCGCAATTGTCTGGTACAGGCCTGCAGATCCACCACTCATAGACCAAGAAGCAGTTAATCCTTTTTTTTTTTTTCCCTGTTGTGCTGGGGATTAAGTCCAGGTCTTTACACAAACTAGGTCAGCACTTTACCACTGATGTACGTCCCAGCTTTTTTCCTTTAGTTTTTTGAGATAAGTTCTGGCCAGATGGGCTGGCTTAGAATTTGAGATTTTCCTTCCCCAAGCCTTCCCAACAGCTGGGATTACAGGATTATTATGCAGCCTGACTTTGTTACCCTCCTCTTCAGTTTAACTAGTAATGGGAGAGGAAAGAGAATAAAAAGTATAACGTCTTCTACACTGATTGCAAAGATATGGGGTAGGATTTTTGCACAAACCCTTCACTTTTCCCTCTCCACCTCAGCTGAAGTCATAGCCAGTATATAAGTCAGGATGGAAAGGATGACACTGGCCCAGAAGGACTAACTTTATGTTACTTACACAGTGAAAAGCAGGAGCCCTGGAGTCAGTATGACCTTGGAATTGATCCTATTTAGTCAACACACCATCTTCTTGGGCTACTGGGAATATTAAAACAAAACAATCTATAAGACACTTTGCACAGTGCCCAATGTGTAAGCACTCAATCATGGCTTGTGTCTGCTCCCAGCACAAAGATAAACTTAGGCTTTAAAGTCTTTTAAGATGAGCATGTCCTCAAAGTCAGCAACAGAGAAGATATTTAAAAGATCCTTTTTAAGTTGGGAAAAACATTTAGCTGGCATGGAGATTATATATCGAGTCCAAATAGGTCAACTGGAAGTAACCTGGATCAACCATTCAGAATAACAAATCCTAACAGGAAGGACTGGGTCTACAGTGAACATGACAACTAGAGGGCAAATGTGCCGAGACTGAATAGACTGATTGCAGTGCAAGTTCTGATTTATAATCTCGTATATAAGCTCTACAAGGGTAAGAATTTTAATTTCAATTTTAATTTAGTGATGCATCTAGAATGGAACCTGGCCAGTTAGTGAACAAAAGTACTTGGAGAATGAGTGGATATTAACTGCTTCTTTTCCATTTTCATCCCCAAATTCCAAAGCATGAGTACAAATCTGAACCAACTTCATCTGCCACTACCCAGGTAATCTACGGTAAAAGCAGGAGAGAAGAGGACTGGAAAAAGACCTGGGTCATGTACTGCACAGAGAAAATCCCAACATATATGACTACGAAAGTGGGAGCTGTGGGGAGTTCCTCATTCCTCTATCTAGAGCAGGCCTTTAACTAGCTCCACTCCCAACAAGTTAGACAGTACCCCAACCCCCTATCTAGCTGTGTCCTTGATTTTACACACATACACATCAGGAAAGGTTAAGGAATTTTCTTTATTTTTTACAAATTAAGACTATGTAGATATCATATATTTTTGAATCAAAAACACCTTTGTCTTCACAGTATGAGTTAGAGAATGCAGCCTGAGCTGAAAACCAAGGAACTAGAAAAGAAAGTGGAAATTACAGTGATACCTGTATTAAAAACTTGTTAGGCATTTTCTTTAAAAGTAGTTTCTTTATCTCTTATCATTCTTGGCACTGTTTCTAAAGAAAAACTCCTTTATCCCAAGCAAAAAAGCGTTAAGAGATGGAGTCTGGCTTCGAAGGTGGAACTTAGATTCTCAGACTTGGCAGAGAAACACCAAATTTATGGAGAGTTGCTAATCGGGGCTTAACAGGAAGGAAATTCCTTTAGGAAATTCTCAAGTGGGAGGCTAGAGGCAGCAGTAGTTACACCAGAGGGCAGCATTCTCAACAGAAGCAAGTCATTTTCTAGGTGGCAGGCCACTTCCGGAACAGTTTCATGGAATGGCACAGTGACATCGTACACTGCAAACCACCAGCCACTGTGTCAAACTTTACTGGTTGTTCAGGGAGAGCCAAAAATAGTGAATTATTGGTAATGTTCTTTCAATAACTTTGTCCCTTTTACATTAAAACCTGTGAATACCCTAGGCCACAATCACTCCTGATGCTGCCCTTCTGTGTACCTGGCTGTGGTAGTCCAGAGGAAGAAGCTGGCAATCCTCACTAGGACTACCTGCTCATGCTTGTTACCAGAAAGCTGCAGGGAATGGGAGCTCTGGCCAAGTCTGGTCACCTGACTCCTCCTTAAAAGACTGCAGACTTCTGGAAACAAGTGAAAGACCAAAACCTAAAGTGCATCTGAAAAATGAACACAAACCTACTGTCTCAAATCTCTGGCCTGACACACCAATAGAGTCTAGGTGGGGTAAGACAAAAGAAACACACTGAACAGCTATTATGAATGCTGACTTGGCAAGTCACCAGAGTTCTGTTTCTCTGTTCTGAACAAGGAATCACTAAGGGTTGGTAGAGATTTGTCCCCCATTACCAAGGGGGGGACATTACCTCACCTAGGTTTGTTTGACAGAATTCATTCCAATTAGGCCCAGAGGCTCAATTGTTCTCCTTCCTTATCCTTCCTCTTTTGAAACCTTTATAGCCACCTAGTGGAGGCCACTCAGTAACTAAGGTATTAACCAATTTTAAAAACTAACAATGACAAAAATACAAAAACCAAGAGAAATTTGGAAATTCTGTTACCTCTACCTTGCCATACATTGTCAGCCTCTTCATAAATGCCTGATAAGAATTAGTCTCCCCTTTGTGCTAAAGTTCTCCCACCCCATGATGGAAAAGCAGGCAGATTCCCTGAGGATCAGGCAGGGGTGGGAAAGGGAACAGACAGAAATCTACATTCCCTTTGCGATGGCAAGGCAGAAAGGTGTTTGCCAGACCAGCTTGGGCAGCACAGAGGAAACAAAGCACCCAGAAAGGGGCAGGCTCTCTGCATTCTTTGTAGGGTTGACAGCTCAGATACAATGAGTCTGAGTTAACCAGAGGACTGTCAAACTTCTTCCTAATGGAAAACACACTGTCCAGTCCCATGGAAACTGCATGCAAATCAAACAATGCTAAGGAAGATTGGGCCAAGGTGGCTCTACCAAACAGTTTGGGTTCACTTGGTGAGGCTTGGTGGGAATGCTGACTCCTGGAGTATGCTCCCTCTGTTGACCCCACTCCTCATCATGGTGGGCTGACTGCTGGAGCAGAACAAAAGGCTAAGGATGGGGTGACAGAAAAGAAAGTAAGGAAGAACCCCAGAAATATGAAGCCAAACTCCAAACTATAATCTGCTAATCAGTTTTTTGATCAAAAAATTCAAAATAGAGAAAACCACAAAGTACAAAAGCTTTTCTGATGCTTTTCATTTTCACAGAACACGCCACCTGTAATGTGTGCAAAGAGGACATGAGGGGTGGAGGAAGAGGAAGTCAAACTGGGAAAGTCTGGATGGTCATTTCACTTCTTCTCTTTCTTTTTGTCCTGTAAATGGAGAAAAACCACCCAATTAATTTTTGGCACCTGACATTCAAGCCCAAAGTCTTGAGTGAAGCTAGGAGTTGTGGTGCTTTTCTATAATCCCAGCTATTGGGGATGCTAAGGTAGGAAGATCACAAGTTTGAGGTGAACCTCAGCACCTTAGAGAGACACTTGTCGGCAAAAAATAAAAAGGGCTGAGGATATAGCTCAGTGGTAGAGCACTCACTGAGCACTCACTACTGGATTCAATCCCCAATATAGGGGAAAAGAAAACTTTTGAGGGAGCTTTTTGGTTAGGGACTGGACTAGAAATGGATCTGGACTTGTTCCCACAGTTTAGCAAGAACTAAAATCTCAACCACCTTCCACTGGTGGTCCTTCCCCCCAAATTGTTGACAGACCTGATGAGAATAAAATTTAAGTAGCTGTCCCCACCCCAACCCAGGAGTACCTGGGTGAGCTACCTCACTTTGGTGTGAGTAGATGCCATGACTACTCAAAACCACCATAGTTCAGATCCCAGTCAGTCAAGGCTACACATTGGCAGTTTATCCTAAGAGAGCAAAACTAAGGCCAAGATCAGCAACTTTCCTTTAGGACTGGGAAGCGGGAGTGTCCCCCCCCACCCCAAGGTGAACATGAATTTGCTGTATAAGCCAACATTCAGAGATAATCTAGTCTGGGGGACTCTTCAATCAATCTTATGATAGCCCAATGGATTAAAGGAATAAAAATTGAGCTGCTCTAATGAAAACTGGTATACTTGTTTGATGTTCAGTCCAATTAAGCACAGCCCACACAGAACCACCAATCCCATCAAGTTACCTACCTCCCCTACCCAATAAGGACTGTAAAGAAAAGCTTGCAGTTTCATTTATTCTCCTCTACTGCTGAACTAGATTATCTGATACAGAATTCCTACTTGAGAAAAAAGTTAAGACTAACAAATGGTTAAAACTGGTTTACTTTTGTAACTTACAAAAGCTGGCTGATGATATTATATTAACATTCTTTCCAGTATCTTTTTTACTAAATCATAATTATCTTTACAGCCCTTAAATTCTTTATATAGTAGTTCTCTTTCTTACTGCCTCTGAAGCTCTTTTTTCTTTGATACTAATCTTAGGGATCAGCTAAGGAAAAAAGAAAAAGATTATTTTTACTTCTTCCTTTTTCTTCTCAGCTGAAGAATTCTCATTTACCTCTTGCTCAGTGGCCTGCTTTACAGTTACCCTGGACCTATAGAGTGTGTTAGGCAAATTTCCAAATCTGAAGTTTCCTCAGATGCTGAGCTAAGGAGCCATTCTCTCATCTGCAGGTTGTAGTTGACTAACCTTCTCATTCATAGCCAGGATCATCATGAGTTTTCTGAAGAGAGTAACGAAATCTAAGAAGAGATCAATGCAGTGCCTGAAAGAGAAGAACCAAGTTATGAACTATATTTCCCACTTTTCCTTTATCCACAAGCCAGCAAAGACCAGAACATAAATACCAACCCCACCCATGACACACTGTCTCCAACACTCCACCCCAACTAAGGAAGCAAAATTCTGTTGTCAGGAATCCTTTCCAATTCAGTGAAGCCACATGGCATAAAGAGATTGAGCTTTGGACTATGCAGAGGCCAAAGTCTGAACTCTGAAATACTTTTATACCAATTGGTATAAGACTTTGAAAGGATTATGACACTTAGAAAACTTTGTACATCTTACCTCTTATTGTTAAAAAAGTTTTCTTTTTAGAAGGGTGGTAGTGTGGAACCCAGTATTGAACCCAAGGGTGCTCTACTACTAAGGTAAATCCCCAGTTCTTTTAATTTTGTATTCTGAGACAGGGTTTTACCACGTTGCTCAACCTGGCTTCAAATTTACAATCCTCCTAACTCAGCCTCCCAGGTAGCCGCAATTGCAAACATGTGCCACTGCACCCAGTTTCAATATTAAATGTTTAAAAAATACAGAAACTATAAAAAGTAAAAGGAGAAAGGCCCTTTCCTTCTCTCCTGCTTGGAAGTGACTTACTATTAAAATTAAGGAGCCCTGGAGGTGTAGTTCAGTTGATACTTATCTAGCATGCATGAAGCTCTGGATTTAATTCCCAGCACTGCAAAAAGGGCAGGGTGGGAGGGACAATGAAATTATGGAAAAACAAATATATACTAGTCCAGTTTTAAAAAATCCATACCTTTAGGGAATTGGCAGATACTATGCTGTTGATACCTAGTTCTAAAACCATGCTACCATATACATTCCTGAAGCTCTGCCACCTAAGTTCAGCCATGGAACAGAATAGTATGCTTCAACCTTTAGTCTTACAAGACCACTTCTCCTACTCACCAGATATAATCCTTATCGCCATTTTCAGCCTTTTCAATAATGAGTTGCGTATCAAAAAGGACAAAGCCACACATGACCACCAGCCCCACATACAGGTTTGCCTAACCAAAAAAGAATAAGATGAAGTTAGCATACAGTAGTAGTAGTGGAGAGAAAAAGAGTTATATTTTCTGGCTCTTAGTTACTTAAAAGTATATTAAATGCTAACCCAGTAAACAATGATGAAGATCACACATTACTTCCCAAGACACAATTCTACTTTCACTTTTTTAGGTCACTGGTAGAGCTTCCACTATTTTTAATAAGCCATAGTGAGACTGGCCTAAGGTCAAAGATCTCTGAGCAAACAACCTTTTCCTCAAGAATGCCCAACAACATTCAGCCCATACTTTCACCTGTAGCAGAAGCTCCATTTTACAGGGTTAGGTGGGAAGGCTTGGAGGGCACTGGAGGATTCCTAGCCTATCTTGCTTTAGGGTTAAGTGAGAAAAAAGCAGTATCAGGCAAATAGCTATTGGAAAGGCCCATACAAAATCTCACCTGGAAAAGCCAAATGGATCCAAAGAAAAGGTTCCCCAGGGAAGACAAGAGCATCAGGCTCATGGCTGACATCAGGATACCTATTAAGATATGATAAAAGGTCATCTTGAGAAGCCAAATAAAGCAATCTCATTAAGGCCATTTCTTATATACCCCCACAAAATGAAGGCTTTTTTTTTTTTTTGAGAGAGAGAGAGAATTTTTAAATATTTATTTTTTTTAGTTTTTCATCGGACACAACATCTTTTGTTTGTATGTGGTGCTGAGGATCGAACCCGGGCCGAACTCATGCCAGGCGAGTGTGCTACCGCTTGAGCCACATCCCTAGCCCAAAAAGAAGGCTTTTAATAGCAACCCAACAATCACCTTGGAATTGAGATAGGGAAGGAATCTGGTGAGAATTCTGGCTAGAGAAGAGCCCTGCTCCATTTCCCAATCCACACCTACCTCCCAGAAAGAGGTAGCTCCGGCGCCTGGCATAGAGTGCACTCAGGGTGAAGCAGGTAAAGATCATTGCTGTGCCCATGAAAGCAGTGGGAAGGATGCTATTAAAGAAAGAAAAAGACCATTATTACGGATTGAGGACCACAGGTATATGGCCTATATTTAGTATGTTCATAAAGGTAAAAAAACACAAAATATTACTACTAAAACATTACCTAGGATTGACAGCAATGCACAACTCCAGAGCAGGACCCAGGCCAACTCCTAGAAAACAAAAAACCCCAGAATACAATACTACCAAAAATTCTTGAAGAAAATCCTTGTCCAAAAACTAATCGTTAATAGCATAGGCACACTTGTGCTCCTAAAAACACAAGCATGTGGACTAAAGTAATTAAATCTCTCTTCCTTAATAATTTTTAAGTGCTATACATAGAAGTTATTTATAAACACAGCTACAAAATTGTCCTCTTAACACAAAATCATGGATGGATCCCAGGAGAAACAGAAATTAGAAAAAAATTGAAGCAGATATATGGAATATTTTTGAGTTGGAATGATGTGTGACTGTCTTGTGGACCCGATCAAGAATTAGTAAAAGAGGCTGGGTTTGTGACTCAGTGGCAGAGTGCTTGCCTAGCGTGTATAAGGCACTGGGTTCGATCCCAAACACTGCATAACAATGAACAAACAAAATAAAGGCATACTAATTTTTTTTTTTAATTAGTAATAGGATACAAGCAGGATCAGGTGACCAGAAACTATGCAGTTATGCAGGACTAACTCCCTTTATAGCAAAGAAAGGCCATACTGGTTCTGCAGGTAGACGTCTGCCAACAGGAGGGCAATCTATTCCAGCCCAGCGTTTCTCCTACTCTGGCTATTTCCTTTTCTCTCCTGATAATTCTACCCCTTAATGCCTTCAAAAACTAGCTTTCCTTGATCCAAAAATCTTAAACCCTAAATCCTTTCCTTTCTAAAATTTCCTTAACACTATATAGATTAAAATGTCACTCAGAACAAGTTGTACGAATCCAAGTTTGTTTTGCAAGTGTTCTTTTTTTTAAAGAATATTCAGATTTTTTTAAATATCTTTATTTTTTTATTTGTTTATTTTTATGTGGTACTGGGGACTGAACCCAGGGCCTCACGCATGCAAGACAAGTGCTCTACCACTGAGCTACAACCCCAGCCCGCAGCTTAAGTCCTATTTCTTTTAATGATAATGCATTCCCCCATCCCACTGAGGTACTGAGGACTGAACCCAGAGGGGCTTTACCACTGAGCCATATCCCCAGCCATTTTTATTTTTTATCTTGAGACAGTGTCTCACTAAGTTGCTTAGGGTCTCAATAAGTTCCTCAGGATGGCCTCAAACTTGTGATCCTCCTGCACCAGCCTCCCAAGTTGCTAGGATTACAGGCATGCACCAGTATGCCTATCTCTACAATAATTTTTGTGTGTGTGTGTGTGTGTGTGTATGTGTATGGTGCTGGGGATTGAACTCAAGGCCTTGTGTATGCAAGGCAAGCACTACCAACTGAGTTATATCCCAGCCCTAATAATGTACTTTTAATTCTTCCCTTGAGAACCAGAGAACTGGGCTATGCAATGAATAACCTCAATGTGGGGCTTTAATGACTGGCAAAGCTTTGAACAGATGCTCCTGTGATAATCACTTGTGTGGGTCTAACTAAACCAGATTATCAGGTCTAGTTCAGTCCCATGTGTACCATTTACAAGCCACAAACCTTGTTCATTCCAGCACACAATACCTATTTTTGGATATAAAAATAGAAGTCACAATTGCTAGTCACAAAACAGCTTATTCTATGAATAGGGAAGCAACATGAACCTATAAGAAATAAGAAAGTAGTAACCAAAAAAAAAATAGGAAAGTAGTACAAGACAAAGCATATTCAAATACAAGTATGACTAGATAATATAAAGCTAGAAGAGGCCAGAAAGGAGAAAGAAGAAATCACAGCACAGGGAGATACTTTATAAATGACTCTACCAAAGAGAAGTCTTCTGAAGGAAAGCATGCTAGTTGGGGTAAATCAGAATAAATACAAATCCCAAGCTTTAGTCTAATGACATAATTAAAATACAGTCCCCCTATGCCCTTCAAAATTAGACCAATCCTTTAACATACCTGTAAGGAAAGCAAATCCGGAGAGAAGTCCCAGTCTTTTCTGCTCAGTTTCATGGCTATGAGGTGTTGCCATCAGCCAGATCATTAACCCCAGGGAGCCCAAGGCAGAAAGTAAGCCAGCCTGTCAAAGGCATGCAATAATTAAATATTTGAAAATTTCAAATTTATTTTGCAGATCTTACTAGGTTCAAATACTAATCTAAACTTCCTAATATTTGCTTCTAAACTGGAGGCAAGGGAAAGGGTAATATTTTCTCAGGGGTGGGGAGAGAAACCAGAAGTTTTGAAAAGTTGGAGTAGGCCCATGGTGGATCCTGAAATGAAGGCTTTTCTGGCTTGGGTAGGTAGTACAACTACTCAAATCAAACTATGAGTGAGTCCTGCCTCAGAAACAAAAAAGATGAACCAATGTGACAAATGCCTGAAGAACATTCGATCTAGAAGAATAAAATAATCCCTTTTGATCACTTGAAAAAGAAGGGGTAAAAAAAGTAGCCTGGCAAGACAGTGCATGCATGTAATTCTGGCTACTAGGAGGCAGGAGGATCAAGTCCAAGGATGTGCTGAGCATCTTAAGTAAGATCCTGCTGAGCATCTTAAGTGAGATCCTGTCTCAAAATCAAATAGAAAGGGCTGGAGATTTAAAAAAAAAAAAAAAAAAAATCAGTGGTAGAGCACTTGCCTAGTATGAAGCCCTGGGTTCTATACCTGGTATCCCATGTGTCCCCCCCCAACACAAAAAAACTGGGCGTGGTGGCACATGCCTATAATCCCAACCACTCTCCTGGAAAGGCTGAGGCAGAATCTTGAGTTCAAAGTCAGCCTCAGCAACTTAGCAATGCCCTAAGCAACGCAGCAAGACCCTGTCTCTAATAAAATATAAAAAAGGGCTGGGGACGTGGCTCAGTGGTTGAGCACCCCGGGGTTCAATCCCTGGTATTTAAAAAAAAAAAAAAACTGATAAGTACCAAAATGTTTATAGTAATTGTTTTTTCATAATTTCTGGAGCTTACAGAGTTTCTTTTCTTTATTTTTTAAAGACTTTTTATCATTAGTCTATTTCTGAATTTTCTACAAAAAACATGTATTTGTTTGGTAAAAAGGACACTGAAGTTCCTATCTTTCTTTAAAGGTACTATTCATTCTCAACATTCACAGTAGTTTTGTTACAAAGTCATAGTGTAAGCACTATACAGCACCAGGCACACACACTAAGTACAAAGTTACAGTGGACAATGAATTGGTGAATACTCAGAAACTGCTACCAGAGTAACTATAGGATTAGGTTCTTTCAAGCCCCTTGTTACATTTTCACAAAACAACTAACACATAACCTTGTTTATGTGTTTCTATTTAAGGACATTTATCATGTTGTTGATTCATTAACACTGAACTCATAGCCAACAGCACTAGAGCTAATGTCTAATAGAGCTCATCTAACATACGCATTTTCTCTTTAAGGTATAACATAGGCTGGGGATATAGCTCAGTTGGTAGAGTGCTTACCTCACATGCACAGGGCCCTGGGTTCAATCCCCAGAACCCCACCCCCCCCCAAAAAAAAAGTATAACACAATCTTAGGAATACTACATAGCACCTCAATACCATCCTGTTTGAATTTCAAATAGCAAAATCACCAACAGGAAGCACAAAAATGGGCTGGGGGAGTAGCTCAAGGGTAGAAAGCACATGTGAGGCCTTGGGTTTCTATCCCCAGCACCAAAAACCAACAAAACAAAACCAAAAAACCCCAGAGATGCACAGATGGTATTAACCCTGTGAAAGAGACACTTGATACAGTATTGAGAACTGAAACAAGAAAGCAGAATGTTGTGTTTCCTGACCTCCACTGGGAACAAGACTCAACATGAGAATTGAATTTTTCAAGGCTCTGCAAAAAGTGCTACCAGTACTAATTTTGGAGTTACAAACTTTAGTAAATAGTTGAATCTCCAAATAAAGAATCAGTGAATAATGAGAACTGACTATATTTTACTATATTACCTTAAAAAAGAAAGAAAGGAACTAAAAGGGCATCATCTAGAACTCAAGGTTCAAAAGCCCAGTCCTTACGGGACACAGTGGTGCACACCTGTAATCCCAGCAACTCAAGAGGCCAAGGCAGGAGGACCCCAAAGTTAGGATAGTCTGGGCAACTTAAACTCTTGTCTCAAAATAAAAAATAAAATGGGCTGAAGATTTAGCTCAGTGGTAGAGAACTTGCCTAGCGTGTGCAAGGCCCTGGGTTCTACCCCTAGTACTGTCTGATGCAATTTTTCACACAACCCTTGCTAGAAAAAAATTCCTGAGCAACAGATAGTTCTCCCCTGCAGTGGCAAATACCAACCCAAGCACACTCCTATGTTTGTTAAAAAGACACTCAAAAAGGATAAGGCTTGGTTAGTGAAAACTTCAAACTTTTTGATTATTCTTTTTTTTTTTTTTGGTACTGGGGATTGAACTCAGGGGCACTCAACCACTGAGCCATATCTGCAGCGCTATTTTGTATTTTATTTAGAAACAGGGACTCACTGAGTTGCCTGGCGACTCCCCATTGCTGAAGCTGGCTTCTAGCTAATAATCGTATCTCAGCCTCCGGAGCAGATGGGATTATAGAAGTGAGCCGCAGTGATTATTCTTTGAACTGTGCCTTCTATTCTATTCCTGTTGCCAAACACAACTCTCCCTCAAAACAGGAAAATGAGATGAAGGTTCATCCAACCAAATAGATATCAGTAGATTGGAGAACAAATAGGTCAAATCCATAATGGTCTCAATCTAGCCTTGCCTGATAATTAATGGTGCAAGCAGTATTCTGTATTCAAATACTCTACAGTCATTGAGGCAACAAAGAAGGGAGGAAAGACAGAAAGGCTACCATGTAAATGAACCTCAGCAGGCAAGTGATGACTCTTGATGGCAGCAACACACCATTCAGTGCCAAGGTTAAGATACTCAATTTTCAGTAACTAGAGGGGCACACTTGCCAGAAAATTTAAATGGTTTTTCACATCTTGATTTAATGGCTGGCTGAGCTCAAACCTCAAACTACTGATAAGGATTAAGGAAGGGCACAGGAATGGACCACCCCACTGAGTTGGTTTTTTTCTAAAGGACTCTGTCCTATGGGAAACAGAGAAACCCATTCTTACCTGAATGAAATGAGTGACCACATGGACATAAGCTCCCGCAGCCGCCAGAAACATACAAAGGGCAAAACTGGCATAGACCTTCTTCAAGTGCTGCTGTGTTGAGGGGGTTCTAGGAAAGAATGTTCATAACAGTCATTGCTCTGGAGCAAATTCATCACCAAGCTAAGAATTATTTCTCCCTCTCTTCCCAGGGAAATATATAAACACTGTATTTGTTATACTACTCTTTTATATACAAAGAGTTTGAGGTAGCAAATTTAACAAAAAAAGAATATTCTGAAAATAGGTCAACAATTTTTTTTGAATGGTGATGGGGCTTGAATGTAGGGCCTCTCACATACTAGGCAAGTACTCTAACACTAAGCTCCATTCCGAGTTCTTAACAGAATCTTAAACACTAGGGAAGAACCAAAAGCCCAAATTTATGAACAACCAGTAACCAAATTAAAATTAATTACTTTCCAGAGACCACATGGCAGCCATTAGAATCTAGGTACTTTTATCAAGTCCTCTGAAATCTAGCCAAGTTAATTTGCTAATTTATACATATAGACTAAACTAGGAAAAGAAACCACATGACAAGAAATGCAGTAATAAACCATAGGTCAAGACTGGCAAGGTGTGGCCTGCCTATAATCTCAGTGACTAGGGAGGCTGAGGCAGGAGGATCACAGGTTCAAGGCTAGCCTCAACAATGTAGTGAGACCCTATCTCAACATAAAAACTAGGACTGGGAAATCAATAAAAGCACCCCTGGGACCCGCCTCTCCCCCCCATCCCCACCCCCCAAAAAAAGAAAGTAGAAAGGGAAAACAAAAACATGGTTATGGTTAAAACACTTACATATGTGAAAATTTTAGAAGTGCATCAAAGTTGATCTTCCGATCAAATATGTTCATGGTTCTAGAGTCTGTGTGACACAGCCTCCGCTCTGTAGAATCAAGAAAAAAAGTTACTGTAAAAATCCTAACACATATAAAATAACACAAACAATTTTCTTATAAGAAATAACGATGTGGGCTGGGGCTGGGGCTCAGTGGCAGAGCACTTGCCTAGCATGCGTGAGGCACTGGGTTCGATCCTCAGCACCACATACAAATAAACAAAATAAAGGCATTCTGTCCACCTACAACTACAAAAAAAAAAAAAAAATTAAGAAAGAAAGAAAGGAAGGAAGGGGGCTGGGGATGTGGCTCAAGCGGTAGCGCGCTCGCCTGGCATGTGTGTGGCCCGGGTTCGATCCTCAGCACCACGTACAAATAAAGATGTTGTGTCCACCGAAAACTAAAAAATAAATATTAAAATTCTCTAAAAAAAAAAAATGTAAGAAAGGAAGGAAGGAAGGAAGAAAGAAAAAGTGATGTAACCAGAGAGAAACAAGTTTGGGAAAATAAGATTTTCTAAGATTCCATTGCTCTTACACAACCATTTTTACTTTATGTATGCCTAGAAATACACTAGCAATCATAGACAACCATTTTAAGGAGGAAAGGAAATTAACTCACCCTTTTCTCCCCCCAAACTATTTTCTTTCTCACATTACTTTATTATTATCATTTGATTTCTATTCTTTCAGAAGGTCATTAGACCCTTAAAAGATAGTTTATAAGACAAATTCCCAATCAGCAATATAGATAAAGGGACTCAGTCACTGGTATATAAAACCATTTTATATAATAAGATGCTAGAGATTTCCCTCAGTAAGGGCACTTCAAGGATATTAAAAACAAACACACACACACACAAAAGCACAATAAAGCTCCCTCTGGCACTAGGACCTGAATTTTAAATATACACATGTATATTTAACACATAATACATATTAAAACTGAACTAAAATGGATTCACAATTTAAAAAGGAAAAAAGTTCCTGTATCTGCAGGAAAAATTACACAGGAAGATTAAAAAAAAAAAAGGATAATTCTGTATTTTTTTTTTTGTACAGAACCTTTCTCAAGGAATGGTTGGCATAGAACCAAGATCTCCTAATATTCTTTACCCAGATTTTTGAACTGTTAATGTTTCACCAGATATTTTATCTTCTTTCTCTCTCTATATATAGCATATATATAAAGACTTAAATAAATGCTTTTCTACAAGCACGGTAGTGCATGCCTGAAATACGTGAACTCTCAGTTACCTGAGAGACTGAATTCAAATCCAGCCTGAACAACATAGCGAGACCCTATCACCATTAAAAAAAAAAAAAAAATATATATATATATACACACACACACACACACACACACATACATACATGTGTATATATATGTATATGGACTAGGGAATGTAGCTCAGAAGTAGAACACTCCTGGATTCAGTCTCTAGTACTATTTAAAAAAAATTAAAAACTATGTAGACATAATAATGCTCCTAAATATGTCAAGTGTGTATATACCCTAAAAACAATGATAAAAACCAAGATATTAATACTGATGTAATGCTATTATCTGATCTGCAGACCTTATTCAGATTTTCTCAACTATTCCAGTAAGTCGAAAACTGAACCATATCCAGGTTAGATTATGTGAACACCATAAAGTCAAGGTTCCACCATCAGCCCAGATTCTGGGGATTGAAATCCAGGGCCTAACGCATACTAAGGCAAGCACAGAACTGGGCACACCCCCAGAACCTCAAGTTTCCTTTTTTTTTTTTTAAGTTTTCTTATTTAAATACACCAAGCAAATGTCTCTGGAAATATTTTTAAAAAAAGTAGAAAAAAAAGATTTTTTCTACACTTAGCTGCTATGTAGCTTGATTACCTCAAGGTTTTTAAGTTCTGCTCACTCCCCTATCTCACATGCGATCCTAAATAAACACATTCAATCTACAGAACTAAAGATATGACACCAAGAGCTTTCATATTTCCTAAATAAAAATCCTCTCAATTCCTATTAGACCCATGATTACCACTTACTTAAAACCTACCAAAAGGTACTTCAAGGAAGACCAGATTCAGACACAAACTTTAATTGTTAGACAGGCTAACTACTTATATCCAATCTAATCACACCCAGGCCAACACTCAATGAAAGTTGGAGTCCTCAAGTCCATTTCCTGAGGAGTCCCGGTCAGTAGAAATATACCACTATTGAAAATTCATAAATATCACTTCCATTGATTTCCTGGGATCCTCCTCTCTCAAATAAAACAAAACAGATGGCTGGCTTTATCTAATTTCTTCCTTTCTTCTTTCACCAACATCCCTACTTACCTCACTTTTTTTGTTAGTTGTTCTTAAAGATGGATACAGTATAAAGCTGCAGAACTTAACTAAAGCAGCTGCTTTCTCTTCTAAGTCACAGGGCTCTGGGCCCTCTTGATCTAGATGGTGCAATTATTGCAGGCTGTTGCAAGGCGAGGCACAGCCTTCCATAACCATGATGAATGCTTCCTCTAGAGAGCACACTTATAGGACGGCAGAATTCAGGACCTGGAAAGTGTCTTTGCTTAAGGCTTCCATTATCGCCCCTAATGACATCCCTAGACAGAACCTGCAACAATACTGAAGCAACCTGCAAAGCCAAGTTTCTCAATATTCACAACAGCCTCTTACAATTTCTAGAATCAAAAGAAGGGAGGGGACCTCAAATACCCAGGGAATTGTTAGTTAAAAAGGGGCAATAGTCATGTAACCTGACCCCTCTGAATGGAATCTGTGGGAGAGGATAAGGGCAGTATTATCCAAGTTTGTTCCTTGACATTTCCCAAGGGCTCTCTCACAACTGTTGATGGAAAAGCCAAAACCATCAAAGGGTGGGAAGGGAGATATTAAATAATAATTTCTCCTTGATTTTGTCATCTGAAATAATAAATAAGATTTTCATTTTTTGGTATGACTACTAATGCCAGGTGTAGTGGCACACACCTGTTATCCCAGCTACTGGGGAGGCTGAGGCAGGAAGCCAGCCTGGGTAACTTAGTGAGACTCTGTATCAAAAAATAAAAAGGCCCTAGCACCACCAAAAAAAAAGGTGTGGGGGGGGAGTTGGGGGACACACAACTGGGGAAGTGGTTCAGTGCCCCTGAGTTCAAGGTCAATCCCTAGTGGGTTTTTTTTTTTTTTTGGTGTGTGTGTGTGTGTAGTCTGCTGAATGCTGGAATCAGGAGAAGTGCCTCAGTGTATACAATTTAACATTAAACTGGTTAGTAGAAAAAACACTGTTCACAAGATTAATTAGGTTGAGAATTTTCCCTCTCCGTTTATTAATTCAATCCTATCCTCACATATTCGGAAGGTACCAAACTGAGTTATAAGAAAAATCCCAATGTTCAGGGAAAAAAAAAAAAAACAGGTGGAAAGCCTGAAATTTTTCTTTCTTTTTTTTTGCACCTACTAGGGATTGAACCCAGGGGCACCTCACCTCTGAGCTACATCCTCAACCCTTTTAAATTTTTTTTTATTTTCACTGAGTGTGGCGACGCATGCCTGTATTCCCAGCAAGGAGGCTGAGAGGCAGGAGGACCACAAAGCCAGCCTCAGCAACTTAGCAAGACCCTGTCTCTAAATAAAACAAAAAAGCAGGGAAGGGTGTTGGGAATGTAGCTCAGTGGTTGTGCAACCTTGAGTTCAATCCCTGGTAGCACTGGGAATTGAACTCAGGGGCTCTACTACCAAGAACTACCCCGAGGTTCTTTAAAAAAAAAAAAACCTGGGGCTGGGGATGTGGCTCAAGCGGTAGCGCGCTTGCCTGGCATGCGTGCGTGTGGCCCAGGTTTGATCTTCAGTACTACATACAAAGATGTTGTGTCCACCAAAAAACTAAAAATAATAATAATAATAATAATAAAATTCTCTCTCTAAAAAAAAAAAAAAAAAACTTTTTTTTTTTTAATTTTGAAACAGGGTCTTGCTAAGTTGCCCAGTCTGGCCTGGAACTATATAACTATATCCCTAACATAGTGCTTAAGAGTACCACCTGAGGCTGGGGTGTAGCTCAGTGGTACAGGGAACGTGTGAAGCCCTGGGTTCAAATTCCCAGCATCAAAAAAAAAAAAAAAATTGCCTGTTTCTGTATCCTAACTGTTATTTTCTTAGCTGTGTTAGTACCCAAAGCAAGTTTCTGGTACTAATCTCACTGTGTTTCAGTTTCATCATTTGTAAAATATTTTTTATTTCATAGGGTTGAAGAGTAAGTAAAATCTTACAAATGGGACTGGGGTTGTGGCTCAGTGGTGGAGTGCTCACCTAGCATGTGTAAGACACTGGATTCAATCCTCAGCACCACATAAAATTAAATACAGTCATTGTGTTCATCTACAACTAAAGAAAAATATTTTTTAAAAATATCTTAAAAATGAAGTGCTTAGAATAGTGCTTTGTACACAGGACAACTCAGAACTTGTAAACTAAAAGGTCTAGTTTTATTTATTTGGTGGTGCTGGGAATGGAACGTGGGGGCCTTGCACATTTTAGGCAAGTGTTCTACCTCTGAGCTACACTCCTAACCCAAAAAGTCTAGTTTTAGAAGACATTTATCCTAGGCCTGATTTCCATATGCCATGTAAATTAATTTTTAAAAATACATTACTCAAGGGCTAAAGATACAGCTCAGTGGTAGAGCACTTGCCTAGCATGCATGAGACCCTGAGTTTGATTCCCAGCACTGGGGAAAAAAAATTCTCAATATATTACATTATTCATGACAGTTGACTCTATCATGAATACCTAATATATCCCCGAGAGTAAAATTAAATGGGGGAGGGGGTCTAAGAAAAATGTAAACTGAAATTTAATGGATCTTGATAAATGTTATTACTGGTTAAAATTACTTTTGTTTAAATGATATACTTCTTCTCTGGCACATTTATACTATACCTCCTATCCCACAGGGCCTCAAGGTGTTTTGAGACAGCCTAATAACCACTAAATGATAATCTGATATGGTAGAGAATTTCATAAAGTAAATGGTCATTAGCGTGATGCCACCCCAAGGAGGTAGTCTGAGGGTAGGTCAGATCAATTTTAGGACACTCCAAGAAATCCCCTTTCAAGTAGGACTGGGCTTTGATTATTCTGGATCAAGACCCTAAAATGGGGCTGAGGATGTGGTTCAGTGGTAAAGTGCTTGCCTGGCACACATGAGGCCCTGGGTTCAAATTTTCAAGCATAAATTAATAAATAAATCCCTAAAATGTCTTGAGCCTTTCAACTTGGACCCAAATCCATGGATCCGCTAACAATGAGTTTATCTCTGGAGGAGGCCGCCTCAAGAAATAACAAAACAGTAATTGAAGATAGAATACCTCCAACATTAGATGCTTTTGGGGGGCACCAAACTTTGATACTACCAAATCTCTCTCTAACTACATTTTATTTGACAGAAATGAATTAAAGAAGGTCCCAATATCCTAAACACACAATTTTCTTCTGGCAAAAACCAGTAATCTCTCCCAACACCATCATATTTAGCCCAAATGAGAGCAAGTATAATTAAGACCAAAAGCACAATCACTTCACCCTCACCTGTGAAGCTCTGTTTTTAAAGTTTTTTTTTTTTATTCCAGTTAATGGTGCAGGAACTTCTCACCTTGAGAACAGGTAGTCTGCAACTGATTCAACCCTACTATCCCCCAGATTTAAACACAATATAGTCTCTAGGCAAATCCAGACCTTGTTATCCGATCAAGAGTCCTGTGACCTCAAATCAATATTCTTCATTGGTTTAGAGGGGAACCTACCTTCAGGGGTCCTTCCTCTGATCCCCAAAGCCAATCCAATCACTATAGCCTTTCTCTCTTTGGTCTTAAGCACTGTCTTTGGGAAATGTGTACAATATAAAAAATTCAAAGGGCTCCATAACATTTCATTAGAAACTAGGGGACAAACCTGGGTGAAGTGGAAGACATTTATACCAGATTCTATAGCCAAGTCTAAGTGACAAAGAAAACTGAGAAGAAAGAACATCATGAGACTATTTAGTGGTTTCCCCAGAGGAGATTAATACCCTTGGGTAGTTTATGAAATAAAATGAAACTCTTTAGACCAGCAGTAGTACTTTCTATAATAATATTACCAAAATATATGATGATTTCTCTTTTGCATAGATTTGGTAACTTTGACATTTGTTTCATTTGCACTGTATTTATTAGGTGTACCAAAATATTATTGTAGTAATTTTTTTTTCTTTTATTTAAGGCTTGACCCTTGATGGTTATTTTTCATTTTAGGACAAGGGTAAGGATACAAACGATACCTATAACAAAAACGAGGGATTTGACAAGACATTTTACAAGAAAATTCTACAACTTTCAAAGTGCTTTTATATACATAAGCTTTTTTGATCTTCACATGAATCCATGAGGAAAGAGCAAGAATGATTAGTCCCATGTTAAGGATTAAAAGGGAAAAAAAAAAGGTGTTAAATGTCAGTGTAATAGTGACAACAGAACAGCATCTGGAGTTACAAAGTCTTGCCTTCTTCTACCATATAACCTTAGAAAAATCATTTTACTGACCATAATCTTGGCTTCCTCATCTAGATGATTAAAACCTGTTCTACTGAATGTCAATAGGAAAATCTGTATTATTTCATTGTAAAGGACTAAACAGACATTAGAACTGATTTGATCAATATCAGAAAGTCAAAATAAACACAGCCAGAATTAGAAAGTTAAAATAAATAGAGCCAGAATCAGATTCAGGGTCTTCTAACTTCTATATAGTCTGGTGTTCTTTCAACTATTGCACCCTACAACAGAAAAAGTAAGCTTTCAGTTAAGGCAGTTTCAGCCACAGATCAAGTGAAATCTTTAAACCAGAGGCACCTGTCATCCTAGTGCCTTGGGAGGCTGAGGCAGGAGTATTCTGAGTTCAAAACCAGCCTAAGCAACTTAGCAAGTCCCTAAGCAACTCTGAGAACCTGTCTCTAAAAAAAAAAAAAAAGGCTGGGGATGTGGCACAATGGTTCAATCCCTTAAAAAAAAAAAAAGAAGAAGAAGAAATCTTTAAACCAAACCAGACAAAACTTCCAAAATAAATAAAATAAATGCTGATTCCTATTACACTCTTGTATTTTTCAAAATTTCTACAAAGAGCACGAACTCTATATTGTGAGGGAAAAATTGAAAATGTTAACTAATTATTTATATTAAGTTTACCTTTTTCTATTCTTTAGCAAAGTAAGACTATTCAAATCAATAGTGGGGGAAGAGAGAGAGAAGGAGGGCACTAAGACATGTTTCCACAAGATGAATAATGGAAGAAGGAAACTCTGGATCCAAATTACAGATTACAATTCTCAGGATTCAACCCTATACTGGAGGGAACATGGCAGTGAATCTAAACATTGACATATTATTGAAATCATAAAAATTAGACAAAGAAAGAGGAACAACACCAGAGTAAATCTAATAATTATAAAAATATGAATATAGAAGTAGTGAAAATGTGATTATACAATTCCAGTAATCTTTCATTAAATTCTTATACTACCCATAGTCAAAAGATAAACTATAAATAAATATCAATAAGTAAAAAAAAAAATCCATTTGCCATTAACTTTTAACCTTGAACTCCTCTGTGTTTTAGGCACAGTCAGCTCTTCTACTGGTTACACATTCACAAATTAACTATTGCTAGAATAGAGTCTCAAGTTCAAAGTGATTTTTGTTGTTCTATGTTAATGGAATCAAATGTTCAGGCTAAGAGAGCTCTCCAAATTCGGGAGAGAGAAGTTCATAGAACGAATCAAGTTTTACTCAAAGCCGGTCCTCAAGACAAGAGGACCTCAAATCTCCAGCTTCGGAGGGCACAGTGCAGAATGGGCTTTTATAGGAGAAAAAGGGGGTACAGACAGACAATGGGCACGCTGGGCGGGGTCTTTCACACAGGGCTGAGTTTTCTTTTTTTCTGGGGTAGTATCGCAATGGACTTCGACCTCCTGTGGTTAGTTATCTAAAACCCAAAGGGCTTCTCTTCAGCAGAAAGGATAAGGAATGGGCAAAAGGCAAAAGGAAGGTGAGGGGAGCTAGGTACAGTTTCAGATGAGCTACGGTTACATTCGGTAAATGGAAGGCTGATGGAGTAGGCAATGCAACATGGGCTGACACGTTAAAGCAATTCCACACTTTGTAAACATACAAAAAATATCAACGCCTACTTCACAGCTTCCTTCAATCAGTCTAAGAAAAAAAGCAATCGGCCAATGACGTGCTTCCTGAGCAGACTTTAGGACGGCCAGAGTTCAAGAACAAGCAATCAAGGCCACCTCACCTGTCCAAAGGTAACCAATCAGATCAGAGCAGGGTTACCCCGTGGGGCTGGGAAGCCAAGCCCCAGTGTCTTCTCTCTTACTGCCTCTGCCGTTGGCTCCCAAGTAACTAAGGAATCTTGCATGTCATAGAGGAATGTGACATCACCCACGCCACCGTGACTGGGCAGCCTGCCCAACCAGGCCCTACCTCCAGTCCCGGACCCCAGCAGCTCGCTTAGAGACAACCAGACCAGAAAATCTGCAGCAGAGTAGCAATCGGCTGATAGGGCGGGGGTGACCACAAACCACTGAGGTTTCACTTTCATTCACCTCGGAAGGAAGGAAGGGGGACGTGCCCTGAATTCAAAAGGTCAAGAATGGAACCTGCGTCTGCACTTAGTTGAGGAGGAGGCGAAGGAAAGCAGAGGCAGAGGGCGGATGAGAGGGAGAGAAAAAAAGCTACTGAAAACGCCACCGAAAGCGTTCTGGAGCAAAATCCCGGCGGCGGCGCCCCCAAAGACCAGGCCGACTTGCCCCCGCCTCGTACAGTTGCGCATGCGCAACAATAGTTCTCCGGCTTCCTCCCAGCCCAGTTTTCCGGGTCTCGACGCGAAGTGGGCCCGGTTTCCTAACGTGAAATCTGTCCCAAAACGGAAGCAACTCTCTCTCTTGTTCGGACAATGACCACGGGCTCCCTTTCCATTTCTCACTCCCGGTTTGCCCATTCCTAGCTTCAGACGTACCTTCTTAACCCGCCACTCAGGAGCCTACCAGCTCTTCTAACACCGGATGTGCTCTGACCCTCCCAGGGTCGGCTTCAGACTCTTTACCCAGCGTCCGCCCCCCCCCCCCACGCTTAAGGGCAGTTCTTATTGGCCATTGGCTGCACTTTTGCCTTTCCATTGGCCGTACGTGCATAAACAACGTTTGCTTACTTCAGAATCATTAGCCAAAGTCCTTGTCCATCACGCATGGCCACCAATAGGCGTCGTAACAATAGACCTACACCTTCTTCCTGTATGACAAGGAGGGATGATTATCCACCACTGTCTCTAGTGGAGAAGTAAAAAGGTGCAGCACGGTTCCGCTGGAGACTCCTGGAGCCTACATAATGCGTTGTGGGATAGCTCTATATTGACCTGGGATTCTGGTTTTAGGCTTCTCATGGAACGTTCAAGAGGAAAAATGATTCAGAGAACACATCGAAAAAGCTCCCTCGCTGCGGGTGAGGTGACTACATGCCTGAAATCCCAGCTACTCCAGAGACTGAGGCAAGAGGATTGAGAGTTGGAGACCGGTTTCAGCAACTTGGATAGCCATTGTCTCAAAATGAAAAATAAAAGGGTTGGAGATGTAGCTCAGTGATAAAGCGCCCCTGGGTTCAATCCTTAGTACCGAGAAGGAAAAAGGGGGAAAAAAAGAGAGCAGGATTTAAAATGTCTTGGTTACTAGACAACGTCATTCTGATTTTGTGAGGTGTGAGGTTTGTGAGCATTTTAAAATCGGTAATAATTTCTCACTCTACATAAATATTGACTTTATTTCATAATTTTGCATCCTTTATTACATAAGCTTACTTACTCTAAATAAATATTGACTTTATTACATAATTTAGAGCCCCACAGTTGTTTACGTTTCAGTCAGTACTCGCCCCTGCCCCCATTTTACACACGTCAGGCATTCCTTTGCAGGTAGTCTCATCTTTCTCCTCCAAGATCTTTTCTGGGCACTCTTGAGACTTGCTCAACAATGCCAACTTTTAAAATTCACTTACATAAAACTCACCCTTTTAAAGTATACATTTCAGGGTGGGGATGTGGCTCAAGCAGTAGCGCGCTCGCTTGGCATGCGTGCGCCCCAGGTTCGATCTTCAGCACCACATACAATCACAGATGTTGTGTCCGCCGAAAACTTATAAAAATAAAAATAAAAAATAAAGTATACATTTCAGTGGCTTTTAGTATACTGTATTCACAAGATTGTGAATAGACATTTATCCCATCTTCTTGGGATAAATGTCTATTCAAAATTTTTGGCCATTGTTAAAAGATATTTGTCCTATTATTCAGTTTGGGAATTCTTTATAAAATCTAGAAATTATCAGATATATGGCTTCCAAGTATTTAAATTGTCAGATATATTGTTATGGCTTTCAACTATTCTATGTGGTGTTTGTTTTATTTTTTCTTCTTCCTTGATTTTTTTTTAAGTGGTGTTGGGGATTGAACCCAGGGCATTGTGTTTGCCAGGAAAGCCCTCTACCAACTGAGCTATATCCCCAACCTTCCTTGGTAGTTCTCTGAAGTAAGATGGTTTGTATTTCTTTATTTATAGGTACTGGGACCTCCAACATGCTAGGCAAGCATTCTACCACTGAGCTACATACCCAGCCAGGTCCTGCACTGCGCCCCCACCCCAGCCCCCAGGGTCTTGCTAAATTGCTGAGGCTGGCTTGGAACTATAACGTATGATTCTCTTGCCTCAGTCTTCCTAGTTATTAGGATTATGGATGTATGCCTCCATGCCCAAGCCCAGTTTTTAATTTTGGTGAATCAAGTTTCTTTATTTTTCTTTAGTTGTCTGTGCTTTGTGTTTCATATCTAACAATGTGATACATTTTAAATTAAATTGTTTATATGAATAGAATCTCACAAGAAAGTAATTGCTTCTAAATACTGTTTCCATTTCTGAGTATCATTTACTTTCAGAGAGCAGGGAATTAGACTACACCATTTTCAGGGAAGGTATACTGGGAACTGAATCCAGGGGGGCTCTACCACTGAACTACATTTCTAGACCTTTTTTTTTTTTTTTTTTTTTTTTGAGACAGGTTCTAAGTTTTCCAGGCTGGCTCTGAACTTGTGATCTCCTGCTCAGCCTCCTAAGTATAGACAACACCTTTTTCAGGGTAGAATATCAAAGAATTTGAGAGCATGTTTACAACCACTACTTGAACACCTGAGTCGGGTGGGAGGGTGATTTCCATCAAGGATGATGGGTGAAGCATCAGGAAGGGAAAGTTCTCAATATAAAATATTGAGGGTTTTTTTTTTTTTATGCAGTACAATTAAAAGAATACAAACTATTCTTACACCCATGCATCTATCAAAGTGGAAAAATAAAAGACATGGAGAGCTGAATGCTTCCCCCAAAATGAAGAGAACCTTATTTCTGGAAGTTAAAACTGTTTGAGGTAGAGGTTTTTAGGGATTTTTGTTTCTTTGTTTTTGTTTGGGGGGGAATTCTGTGGGCTTTATTTACATGGATAAACATTTTCACTTCTGATGCATGCCTGTAATTTCAGCAGCTCAGGAAGCTGAGGATCACAGTTCAAGGCCAGCCTCAACAACTTAATTAGACCCTATTGTAAAATAAAATAAAAAATGGCAGGATGGAGGTATAGTTCAGTGGTAGAACATCCCTGGGTTAAATCCTCATTCTCTCTCTCACACATACACACACATTCATACATTTTACTAATCATTTATCACAAATGAAATAGTAACAATTTCTTCTCCTCTTCCTCCCCCTTCCCCTCTTTAAATATATATTTTATATATATATATATATATATATTTGATGGACTTTTATTTTATACATTTTTTTATATGCAGTGCTGAAAATCGAATCTAGCACCTCACATATGCTAGGCAATGGCTCTAAGTCAAAGCCCCACCCCCACCCCCACCTCCAATCAAACTCAGGCCCTTAAGCATATGCTCTATCACTGAAACGCAACCCCCAACCCATTTATTTTTCTTATAAGAGATAAGTTCTCACTGTGTTGACTAAGCTGGTCTCAAACTTGCCATCCTCTTGCCTCAATCTCCCTTGTAGGTGGGATCATAGGTATGGGCCACTATAGAGCAATTTCTAAACAATGTCCTACAGGTAATAAACATCTTTTTTGAGTATACATACAAAATGCTTCTTCTCAACTGTTGCTGGTTATGTTTATTCGTGTGTGTGTGTGTATGTGTGTGCGTGTGTACATATATCCTCAGCCCTTTTTATTTTTTATTTGGAGACAGGGCCTCACTAAGTTGCTGAGGCTGGCTTTGAGCTCAAGATTCTCCTGCCTCAGCCTCTTGAGTAGAGGGATTACAGGCATGCCTGTTTACTCTTTTAGCAGTAGAATTAGAAGCCTTGTTTCAGGTGGTCTTTTACAAAATGATCTTCAGTGGTTTGACAATGATTTCATCAAGAGGTTGTGCTTGGTTTGAATATGATTTGAGTGTATTCCCCAAGGGTCCGTGGTTAGAAGCTTGGTCCCTAGTATGCTGATATTAAGAGGTGGGACATTAAGAGACCTTTAATAGGTGGGACCTAGGGGAAGGTCCTGAAGGGTACTTTTGCTCTCAGAATGAATTGATGGGGGGCGGGCAGGTTTGGCAGCAGGGGTGAAAGTGCTTGAAGTTAGGAGATGGAAGCAGTTGACTAAGGGACATTCTGGACTTCCCTAGAGACTAGGTAGGGGGATCCCTAAGCTGTCCTTAACTTTTCTCTTCATAAATCCCTGAATTTTCTCCAGAGAATTGGAATGACTTGAGATTCTGAAACCGAAGCCTAGAGCCAATGCCTGGTTAAACACCTAATTGGTGGATGGCCTTAGTCATATTACTTAACTTCCTTTAGTCTTTTTACTCATTTATAAAATTATGATAATAATATTCCCTCCAATGATGTTGTAAAGATCAAATCAGATAATGGATGTGAAAAAAATATTGAAAATTATAAAACACTGTAAAAGTATTAGTCACTATTATTATCTAGTAGATTAGTCTGGTTTATTCTATCTTAGGTTTGTCTTTCTTCAACCTTACTTCTGTTTCTCCTCCTTCCCTGATTTGTTCAGGCTTTTATCTTCTCCATATCATAACAGTAGACTTCTTTCTGGAGTCTCAAATGTTCCTAAAGGACTATTTCCAAAGAGTATACTTAAAAACTGTCTAAGACACTGGAGTATGTATAGAATAAGCAACAAACTCCTCAGCTGAGCACAAGGCTCCTCTTGAATTTGATTCGACCTGCCTTTTTAACTTTAGCTCATGTCCTCCCTACACTTCAGTCTCACTGAATTTCTTACCATTGTTCAAATATCCCACTCTTACATAGTTCTTCATTTTCCCCTTCTCGGAATTCCTTTTCCCTTTCTGAACCCTTCCTTCCACTGCTTTTTTTTTTTTTTTGGTACCAGGGATTGAACCCAGAGGTGCTTAACCACTGAGCCACATCCCTGTCCTTTTTATTTCTTTTTACTTTGAGACAGGTTCTTGACAAGTTGCTTAGGGCCTTGCTAAGTTTCTAAGGCTGGCTTTGAACTTACACTCCTCCTGCCTCAGCTTCTCAAGTAGCTGGGACTTATAAGTGTTTGCCACTATTACCAGCCTTCAATTTCCTTTCACACTCTGTTTTCACTTTTCTGTCTGGCTCATCTATTTGCCTTTCAGGCCTGACTCAAGTGTTGTCTACTTCCCAAGGCCTTCTTTTATACCTTTGTCATCAGTTCTCTCAGTAGCACTTTGTACACCCTTCTATTATGACACTTATCACACTGTTTTGTAAACATTAGTTCAAGAGCCTGTTAGATTATGAGCATCTGGAAAACGATACCTGTTTATTGTTGGATCTTCCTTACTACTTGAAACAAATGAACCTTTCCAGCTGAAGTAAAGGTTTCATTTGAAAGATTAGAGCCAGAGGTAGGAAAAATGGATTGAAGAGAGAGATTAAGGTTTGGAGATGATATAGACCCTTACTTAAGAAGTTTTAGTTTTATCCTTTTTTAAAAAAATTATTTTTAAAATATTTTTTTAGTTGTAGATGAACACAATTCTTTTAAATTTTTTTTAGTTGTAGATGTACACACAATATCTTTATTT